GGTTTGGATCCCTGTTCCACTTACTGGCTATACAACCTCAGACTAGTCTCTTAACTTGGCTGGACCTCGGTTTCCTCAAATGTAAGGATGTTAGTAGAAGCACCTCTTAGGAGAGTTAGAACGGAGCCTAACACATAGAAGGGCTTAATGAACATTAGCTGTTGTTATGTAGATGTCCAAAGATATGCAGCATTTTCAGAGTAGAGCTTGGGGGCTGGACCCTCGGAGCAGAGGGAGGAGTGCCGGGAAAGGGGCTGGCACCGAGGTGTAAGACAGCCCCTCCAAGGTCAACCAGCATCCTCACGACACTCGCAACCAGTTGTCCAACACCTACCGTGGGCAGAGCCCTGTGCCAAGCTCAGCCATCATCATCCCATGGACCCTTCTCAACAAACACAGGAAGCGGGCTTTATGATCCCCATTCGACAGATGAGCAGAGTGTGACTCAGAGCAGTTAATTAACTTGCTGCTGCGCACACAGCTGGTTCTGTAAAGTCTGAACTCATTCCATTCCCTTCGCCTGCTCCCCAACACCAGCGCGCCTGCACAGATGGTCACGAGGGTCTTGAGGATGCGGGTGGCAAGCGGGGCCTGCATAAGCCTGAAATGCGGGGGCATCTCTCCTGTGACCAGCAGCCCCTGACAGTCACTGAACAGGGAAGGGTCTTCTAATTCCGAAGCCTGGTTCCACCCGCAGAGATTTTGCTGTAATTGGTCTGGGGTGCAGCGTGGGCGGCAGGATTTTAAAGCTCAGCCAGGTAATTCTCATGAGCTGCCAAGTTTGGAAATCATGGGTCCAAGGGGAGGTCTTGCACTGAAAGCTTCACTGCTGATGCCTGGCCCTTGCTGTGGCTCTCCCCAGAGCCGCTCCGGTGCACCAGGACTGGGCCATGGCAGGGGCCTCCTCGGCTGGGGCCCCCTCCAGCCCTCTACTGCTCTGGGTCCCTCGTCCTGCCCCCGAGTCTTTCCTCGTCCTCTCCCTTCCCAGGTCTCCAGAGCCTTCTTATGGCCCAAAGTTTCCCAACCCCAGGAGGGGCCAATCCGGCTGCCCCCCTGGAAAGGACTCAAGACCCCAAATTGATCCCATTTGCCTCCTTGATCCCCGGCCAGAGCACCGCTCTCATTTTCCCCACACAGAACAAGGCAGGGAGACGGGCTGGTTTCAGCAGGAGGGGGTGATGGCAGCACGCTCCCCCCCTCTCCCTCCCTGCACTGAGGGTGAAGCTTCGGGAAGCAGAGAGGGGGCAGAGCCCAGGGCCCGGCTTTGAGGAAAGGTCACCCTCCCAGCGAGGCCTGGGCCTGGGGTGGTGGGCAGAGGGCAGAGTCCGCCTGGGGAGGGGGGATCCCCCTCAAGGCAAGTACCTGCTTTTTCTTTGAAGCCCAGCCACAGTCACTTTCAGTGTCACTACGGGAACGGGACCCAGACCAGGAACGGCACCCCAGCAAGAAGGCGAGGGTGGCATGCAAGGCCCCTGGAGTCCTTGCTGAACTTCCCCTTCGGAGCACAGGTCTGTCAGCCTGGCCCAGCTCACAGGGAAGCAGCAGCTCGTGCAGCATGACCATCGGTGATGGAGGTTGGCCTCTGCCTGTCTGGTTTGTCATCATCAACCTCCAGGTCCCCTGTCCTGGGCTCTCTGCCCAAGCATTCCATTGCCACACAGGCCCCACGAGAAACCGAGGCTCACAGCCAGCCTGCAAGCTCCCACCAGAAGCCCGCACCCCACGGGCTGGCTACGCCCCCCCCACAGTGGAGGCACAGAGGGTGGCCCCACTGAGTCCCCATGTGGATGGTTGTTCCACTATTGTGTTACCAGCGTCTCAGGGCAGAGTTGCCTTCAGCTTAGCGAGCTCTCAGCGGCAGCCCCAGGAGAGCCAGCCGCCTGGGACACAGCTGGTTGTACCGGAACCAGGGGGCACGCTCATAAGGCCCGGGTCTGCATGTCACCTGCGCCACCCTTTAGGTGCCGCTGTGACCTCGAGCCCACTACCTAACCTCTTTGGGCCTCAGATTCATCATCAGTAAAAAGGAAAGTGGGGATGATGCTAATATCTGCCTTAAAGAATTGCTATGAGGACGAATTTAGATAATGCCCTGAAAGCGAGTAGCAAAGCAACCATTCAAAAAGAAAAAAAGATAGTTTACCACCGTTGTAATCTGGTTTGTGGAACAGAGCACAAGGAAGGGTGCAAAGGAAGACTCAAGGTGTCCGCCGGGGTGTCTGTGTCAGGAGGTGTCCCCTGGCCTGTCCGCCTGGGTCAGCCCACGTGTGGAGGGCTACCGGGCCCCACCGATGTGGCCTCTGGCTTCTCCAAGATGGTAGAACACACAGAAAGCCAGATGTTGATCTTATAAGAGCTAGCTTTCTGACTGTTGCTTTATTTGTTTCTCCCGAAAATTCTAGAGTGTTCCCTGTGGATTAAGCTCTTTCTATCTATGGACTAGAATTGCAGATTCTTGAGTTTAAAGGCATATGGCTGCAAGAGTAAGCAAGTGCTGCCTCCGGGCTGAGAAGCTTGGCTGGCCTCGGGGGGTCAGGGATCCAGACATCCCGAATACCTCTTGTGACCTTGATTACCAAGAGGGAATCGTGAGCTGCACTCGATGGCTGCTATTCAGAAATCCTACTAAAGTCTTTTGTATAAAACGTGTGTGTGTGTGTGTGTGTGTGCGTGCGTGCGCGCGCACATGCGTGTTCCCGCGGGCATGTGCACCCGTATGTCTTTTCCCCCATATTGGAATGCTCGGTGTGAACCCTTTCTGTTTGTACCCATAACCATCACACGTCACCCTTTGCCTCTGAAACCTCCCTAAGTGCTCCAGGCTGCTCTTGGTCTGCTGCTGGCTTGGGGTCTGGGGGGGTTCAGGGAGGGGGACTCCCAGCAGCGAGCTGAGCACGTGTGAAGTGGGCCTCAACAAACAAGCAGGAAAGTGAGCGGATGTTCTGGAGTAAGCCCTCCCTCTGTCCTCCCTTCCAGGGGCCGTCTTGCTCGTGAGGGCACCTGACCCCAGAAATTGCATCCCTGACTCAGAGGGAGGGAAGCAGAGGGTCTGACTTAGTCCTTGATATTGGTGGAACCAGCGCCCAGGCCCAGGGCTAGTGGCCTTGAGAACGGATGTGAGTATCTGGGGCTTGGTGGGCTGCAGGCTGAGCTAGACTCTAGCTCTGCCACCCCCTTGCTCACCCCGGTGCCTGGTGCAGAGCCCGGTCCACAGCGGATTCGCAAGAGACCCTGGGTGAATGAATGAACTTGGGCAGGCCTGTTTAACTGAACTTTAGTTGCCTCTCCTACAAACTCGCCCACGGGAGAATATCTGCTCTTACTCACTAAGCCATTGTGGGAAGCAAACAGGACCACGTAGAGTCGAGTCTGGGGTCACACAGGCAGGGGTGAATCCTAGCTCTGCCCGTTCTTGGCTATGTGATGTCAGGCAACCTCTTTGAGCCTTAGTTTCTTCATCAGCAAAATGGGAGTAATAATGAAACCCCCCTCACAGGAGTGCAGCTCAGTGCTTCGCACACTGTCTAATACATTATTAACATGATACATTATTTTTGTCCTGCTTACGAAAGTGCTTTGGAAACTACAGAATGCGTTGCATATATGAATGACGATTTTTCTGTCCAAGGATCTCACTTCAGAGAACAAAATATATTTGGCTGGGGAAAACGTTCATGCAATAAACTAAAATAACAATAATCATAATAATCGTAGGTAATCACGTTATTATCTATTACATGTCAGGCTACTTTACACACATCATTTCCTGGGAGCTCTGGGGTCGGTTGCTTCCCGTTTTCTAGATGAGGAAACCAAGGCACAGAGAGGTTGAGTTACTTCCCCAGAGTCACAGAGCTAGGAAGCGTGGCAGCTAAGATTTCAAAGACCAGGGTCCCAGGTCATCTTTTGTGAACCTGGGACCTTCGGAGATTTGGCCCCAGCATCCTGGGCAGGCCTTGTAAGAGGAGCTCTCCCTGCCTGAGAGTAGGGGTGGGGAAAAGACTTTGGAGAAGCAGGTCCCTCCTCCGTCCTCCAAGCTCCAGGCTCAGGATTCTGATCCAGCCTCACCTTTCCCCGGCAGCCTAGACCTCATATGCTCTTATGTAACTCCGTTTCCTGCTCCCCTGCCCCCACGCTTTATATAAGACAGCTCAGCAAACACTGGGGGACCCCACTCGAACTCGCTGTTGTTCTCCTTGAGGCTGGAGCCTGTCTTTGAGTGTGCGTGCATGCGTGAACATACACTCATGCACATGTGCCCGTGTGTATTTGTACACGTGAGTGTACTCGTCATGGGATGGAGGGCACCAATACGCATGTGAGGACACAGACATGTCTTCATTGGCCTTTTTTTTCTTGCAGTGAGAATAAGGCTTCCCCACTACGGCTTTCCTTTTTCAACAAATTCAGGCAGCTCAACTCTTGAATGCCCTGCTCTTGCCCCGGTCACAGGTAGTAGCAGGTCCATGTTAGTAGAGGAAAGTTCTCACAGTGCTGACTCTCACTTGGTCAGCCAGGAAAGTGTCTAAGCCTCTGTTCCTCCTGGAACTCCCACTTGCCAGTCACTTGGGGTCACTTGGGGTTTTAAGGGAACCCCTGCGGCTGTCTGAGCTGCGTCCTGCAGGCATTGGGTCAGCTCAGGCTCCAGACACCTGCGCTACACGAGGCCAGATACCCAGGCTACCCACAACATTCAAGGCTGCTCTCCCCACATGGCGCTGGGCTACCTGCCTGTCCAAGCTATCAACACAATGTTCTCCACATTGTAGGTTTTGCCCCATGGACACTTCACAAGTAATCTCTGGCCCCTTTACTGGCCTGACCTGTCAAACTGGACGAATTCTCCCAGGTCTGAGATTGGGGTGGGGAGGTGGGTGGGCAGGCGACACGTCCCAATGATGAGGATTCTCACTACCCAGGAGGGCTCAGGAGCCAGCAAGATTCTGGATTCTTCATAGTCCAAGACCATCTATGCTTTTGTTGAGGTACTGTCCCCTCTGCCGGTGTGGAACTAGGTGCTGAAGACAGGGGACTGTGTTCCCTTCGCTTCTCTTCCCAAAGCCAAGAAGGGCTTCAGCCATCTTCCTTCTCATTCACCTTCACTTCCACGCCGGGCAAAAGAGAGGATAGGGAGAAATCCATTAGAACCCCATCCCCCACCCCCAATCTTCCAAGCACCAAGGTGCCGGCCTGGGGTCAGACAATGGGGTCTATACATAGGCTACAAAGCCCAACGTTCCTTCCTCCTGTCTGCCCACCCACCCCAGCCCATCCCAGACCAGACAGCAGAGCCACCCACTCCCCCTTGGCCGGTGAATGCCGAGGTTCTTAGGCATTAACACTGCTTTAAGTTAATTCTGCATCTGCAAGAGGTGGCAGGGTTCTGGGCAGCAGGGGGCATCTCATAATGGGAAGTTCGAAATTCCCTCCACACGGCTGCATTTGGAGGCCTTTCTGCATTTTAAACATCCTGGGTCCTTTGCACCACAAAGCCTTCACCTGAACTTGCTTTCCCCGCTCCCCAGGCGGCAAGGGCGTATTTTCAGCGCCCCACTACTACTCGTCCACACTCGACAAGGGTGGGGTCCAAACCAGCCCTTAGAGGAGGCTTTTGCCCCTGTAATGTAACTAGATCTAGCCACCCCCCCCATTAAATTTTATTTGACCACGGTCTTGAGGTATTAATTTTGCTGTTCGCCCCCTTTGCACTTAAGTCACTGAATTTTTTTTTTTTTTTTAATCTCACGGAGTAAATTAAAATTTCCCAAAGGTTTACTCTCCCTGCCGGACCAGCCCTTTCCCCTCCGGAGCTATAGCCTCCTTAGCCTCCGCGGAGTGGGGTCTCAGGAACCCCGGACCTGGGCCCCCTGCCCCGGCTCCGCAGTCAGGCGGCCAGGGGGCCCAAGGGGTACACACCGCGCTCCCGCCCGTGCCCCAGCCAACACACATCCCAACACACATGCACACACACCCCGGCGAGGTGCCGCTGGAAGCGGCCGGAAGCCCGACGGCTGCAGTTTTATTACAAGGTTTCTTCTCAAAGGCGACATCAGGCCGACAAGGCTCAGCGACTCGGATTCTCCAACGACTCCCCCCCCCCCATCTACAGACCCCCAAACTCCCACGCACGTGACCGCGGCCCCGGGCGGCCTCGCACGACCTCTCCCACGCGGCCACGCCGAGGCGCACACAGCACCAGCCGGGTGTGGACGACCCTCTCCGCGCCGCCGCCTCGAGTCCCGCGGTGTCCGGGTCCTGGCGGGGGCAGGGGGCCCGAGGTCCGTGGCTGTCCCTCGCGCGGCCGGCGGAGCCCGCGCGGGGCACGAGGGTCCTGGTGTCCCTCTCGTCTGCTTGCGGGCCGGGCGGCCTCAGTACAGCCCCAGGATGGCGGCGCCCACGTCCTTGGAGGGCCGGCGCTCCTGCGCCAGGAAGTTGATCCTGCTCTCCGACCTGATGAGCAGGTTGCAGCCCAGGAAGAACACGCCGAAGACCACGGTGAGCGACAGCACGCCGAGCACAGCGATCTGCGCCCCGCGCGACCCCCCCAGGCTGCGCTCGTCGGGCGCCAGCCCCGCGGGGACCCTGTCGCTGGCGGCCAGCGGCGCGCCCCCGGGGCAGCAGCCCAGCCCCGTGCCCAGCCCGTGGCTGCGGTTCCCCAGGGCGGCCCCGCCGCTGCCGCCCAAGCCGCCCGCCGCCTCCAGGCCGCTGTGGTTCAGGAAGGTCGCGTTCATCGCCGTTGGGCGCCGGGGGTCTCGGCGCGCCGGCCGGGGCGCACGGGGAGGCGGCGGGCGCCCGCGCTCCCGGAGACGCTGGGGGCGGGCTGCGCGCGGGGAGGGGGGAAGGCGGGAGGCCGCCCGCGCGCCGGCGCCCCTCGCGCCCCCTGCCCCTGGGCGCCGGGCGGGAAGCGGCGGCCCGGAGTGGCGAGCAACAGGCGGCGCGGGAGCTGCAGCAGCCGGAGAGCCGCTCGCTCGTCTCGGTCGCCGGCTGCGCTGCGCGACCGCCCCGCCGCCCCTCCCCTAGCAACGGCCCAGGCCCCGCCGTCCCCCTCCGTCCCCCCGAGTGCGGGCGCCGGCAGGCGTCGGAGAGGCGGGCAGCCCCGCCCTCGGGCCGGCGGAGGTCGAGCCCCGGGGGGCAGCGGCGGACTGTTTCGGGGTGCAGGATCTGCCAAGGCGCCCATTCCGGGATTCGGTGCTCGTCGCCGGTACGTTCTTCCTGAAGTCTGCCCTAAATCTCGTCTCCGCTCTTCCGCGCCTCCTAACTCTTCCGACACATCAGGAGTAGCCGTGACCCCCGGCATGGGCTTCCCTCGCCTCTCTCTTCGCCGCCGCGGCGGTGGCGCTGGGTGCGGGGCGCTCCCGCACGGCCCTCCCCGCCCCTCCCCGCTGTCCCCGAGCTGCAGGTGTGGCGGCGGGGCGTGCTGCCTCCTTCCCACCCTGCCCCCACCCTGCCTCACTTGATTTTTTTTTTTAATTTTAATTTAAGAAGAAGTTTATTGCGGGTCCCCCCCCCCCGCTTTCATTCCTTTTTACAAAAAAACGCATCATTGTAAACTAGAGAGTATGGATTAGCAACATTTAAAAAATCTAAAATAATCCTACCACCCAGGGTTGTCGACGTTACCAGCTTGGTACAGAATCTTCTGGGCTTTTTTCTTTGCGTGTCTCAATACATACGTATATTCAAATAACGATTCACTGTTCATACCTACTGTTTTGTAGCTATTGTTTTGCAGCCTTTTGTCATTTGTGTATTTTTAAGTAGTGATAAATATTCTTCTACAACAGTGGTTCTGAATAGCCTGGAGGACTTGTTAAGACCCAGATGGCTGGGCCCAGACCAGAGTTTCTGAAGCAGTAGGTTGGGGATGGAGACCCCAGGATGTGCATTTCTAACAAATTCCCAGGGGATGCTCTTGGTGGCTACTCCGGGGTCGTGTTTTGAGAACCACTGATCTGTAATACCAGTTTAAGTGAAGGGATGGTGTTTCAAGGTAGAGACTACACAATTTATTTTACGAAGGTGTTTATTTTGGGGTATTTTAGTTGTCCCCCCTTTTTTGTGTGGAAGGCAATATTACGGTAAAGACCCGGTAACAAAGGCTGTGCAGACTTTTCCATAGTCTAATTGTTTCCTTTATATTTTGAAAAATGGACCTGCAGAATCAAAAGGTTACATCCTATCAAATTGTTCTGCAGAAATATACCAGTTTAGGGGACACCTGGGTGGCTCAGTGGGTTGAGCATGAAACTCTTGATTTTGGCTCAGGTCATGATCTCAGGGGTCCTGGGATCCAGCCCTGCATTGGGCTCCCCCTCTCGGGGTGGGGGGAGTCGGCTTGAGGATTTCTCTCCCTCTCCCTCTGCCCCTCCCACCCCCCCACCTCATGCACCTGCGTGTTCTCTCTCCTAAAATATATATAAATAAATCTTTTAAAGATTAATTAGAAATATACCAGTTTACACTCTAGCCCTGTGGGGAAGGGGGGCATTGCCCCCGATCCTGGTTATTGTCATTATTTTAAGAATCTGCCTGAGTTTATGGGATGTGGGATGGTTTCTCACCCTGATGTAATTTGCATTGTTTGAGCTGTGGAGAAGGAGGAAAAGCGTTTAGGAGTCTTTTCCATAGTCCAGGCAGAAGATGCTGCGGGAGGCTTGGATGATGCTCTTGGTGGTAGAGGGAGAGACCCGGGGATGGAAAGGGCTTGGCAAGTGGGAGTGAGGGGACTCACGACGCCCCCAGTATGAAGCATCTCAAAGCCACAGCCCCACCATTAAAACTAATTCACGTGTGTGTGCCTCCTGGGAAGCTCTTACATTTCTCATTTTAGAGACAAAGAAACTGACACACACACACAGACACAGGAGAGATTGGGGGAAGAAGACCTGGCTCACCCTCCCGGGTCCTGGGAGAGCCGCCTGGCACAAGGGTCTCCCTGCCCTGACCACCCTTGAGAGCCGGGATAGAACAGGGAGACAACAGGTTTCTGGCCAGATATTTTGTCCTCTGCTTTTGACCAGTGGATTTCTTTAGAGAAATGCTTGGTTATGTCCTTTGCCCATCAGTCTCCCGAGACCAGCCCCTGAGCTTTGATATGCCCTGGCCATGGAGTCTGTGCTCCTGACTCAATGTCGCTCACGGTGGGCTGCCTGCTGTACAGAAAGCAGGGGTGGGAGGAAGAATGGTGGGGACCAGAGAGGCCTGCCTGCACCAGCAGGAGGCTGTGAGGGGACTGATGGCTGGCCTTTCCTTTATTAAACACCTATTGTAGGCTCGGGGCGTTAAACATATTAGTACCTCACTGAATTCTTTTTTTTTTTTTTTAAGATTTTATTTATTTATTTGACAGAGAGATAGAGAGAGAGCACAAGTAGGCAGAGTGGCAGGCAGAGGGAGAGGGAGAAGCAGGCTCCCTGCTGAGCAGGGAGTCGGATGCGGGACTTGATCCCAGGACCCCGGGATCGTGACCCGAGCCAAAGGCAGCCGTTTAACCCACTGAGCCACCCAGGTGCCCCATCTCTTAATTCTTATAACAGCCCCGAAAGGTAAGCATCTTAGGTTATTACTGCTGCATCATGGCTTATCCCCAAATGTAGCCAACATCTATGACTTCACACAGCTTTCGCGGGGCCAGGAAGGCGAACGCAGCTTAGCTGGCAACTTCCAGCTCAGTGTCTCAAGAGGTTGCAGCCAGGGTGGTGGCCGGCGCCACGGTCGCCTGAGAGCTTGCCTGGGGGTAGAGGATTGGCTTCCGAGAAGGCTCCCTGACACGGCTCTTGTCTCAAGGCCTCAGTTCCCGTCCATGTAGACCTTTCCACGGGGCTGACATGCAGTTGGCTTGCCTCAGAGCCACTCTTGAAGAATGCGCCGGACGGATGGTGAGCAACTGGTGGGAGGGAGAGGGGCAGAAGAGTGAGGCTACAGTGTAAAATGTGTTGGTTCTCTTTGTCATTTAGGTTTCACAGCCACCTTAGGGAGAGAAACCATTAGCCCCATTTGACGGATGAGAAAATGGAGGCTCAGGAAGGAGAGAGATTTTGCCGGAGGGCACAGAGCCGGTTGGTGACTGACACAGCCAGAATGTAAGCCCTTTGCTACCTTAAAACCTGACCCCGGCTTTTTCCAGCACTTGGTGTGTGGACGGGTCGGGGGGGGGGCTTCATTGTTAGGGAAAGACCCCCCCAGCCCCCAGAGCTTGGGGGAGGCCTCGGGAGCCTACGAAGTTGTCTGTCAACTGAGCTACCTTCTCTGCTCCAGAGACAAGGAAGCCAGGGCCTCTGGGCCCAGCTGCCACCCACACAGGACTATTTTTACCCTCCACCTCAGTGACAAGTCTGCATCTTCCAGCTCTGGAAAGGCCATCTGGGCAGTCTGGCTGTCCCAGGAAGAGCATCTACCCTGAGGCCACCGTTGATGCCCTGCTGTCCCCTGCAGCTGTTTTTAGATGAACCTTTAGCTTTCTGGCATGTCATGGCTGCCCAGGGTCAGTCAGGTGCCTCCCTCGCCTGGATTCAGAGGTTAATAAAACTAGTGTGATAATAAAAAGTATCACTTACTAGATGGACTTTTCTGAACTAAAACGTTTAAATCTGCAGATATTTTAAATTGCTCACATTTCAAACAATGTTAAAAAGTGTCCTGTGCATGAGCCATTTTTTTTAAGGATTTTATTTATTTATTTGAGAGAGAGAGTATGAGCGTGGGGGGGGAGGGGGGAGGAGGGTAGGAGAGGGAGAAGCAGACTCCCCACTGAGCGGGGAGCCTGACGTGGGGCTCGATCCCAGGGCCCCCGAAATCATGACCTGAGCCGAAGGCAGGCAGACGCTCAACCTACTGAGCCACCCGGGTGCCCCCTGCATGAGCCATTTTTTTTTTTTTAAAGATTTTATTTATTTATTTGAGACAGAAAGAATGAGAGGGAGGAGGGTCAGAGGGAGAAGCAGACTCCCTGCCGAGCAGGGAGCCCGATGCGGAACTCGATCCCGGGACTCCAGGATCATGACCTGAGCCGAAGGCAGTCGCTTAACCAACTGAGCCACCCAGGCGCCCCTGCATGAGCCATTTTAATGATGAGATGAGAATGATTTTATTTTGCATCTTCAAACTACACACACACACACACACACACACAGAGAGATGAAAAATGTAAATGGATGGCCATTGTATAACATACTTCAGGGGGAAGTCTAAGAACCTTTGGACGTAATTTATTTTCTGAAGTGGTCTCAAACAACCCCCTAGGATCCCGTTTACACTATTCATTTGTTTGGCAAACTCTCCCTGGAGCGGGCAAAGGTTGCCTTCTGTCAGGTTCCTACCCAAATGATCTCATGTTTCACGCTGGCAGAGGGGAAGTTAATAATGATTTACTGCATCTCTCACAGAATTAAAATAAACACGGTTGCCCGGTTCAGCCTTTGTCCCGCACACCAAGTGGAGAGCAGCGGAGGGCCCCCAGGCAGCTCGGGCCGTGGGAGCTTGACCCACAGCAGCAGGAGAGACTCTGCAGAAGTGTCTGCGCAGGAGTAGAAAGGGGCAGTTCCTGTGTACGCACCTCGAAACAGATAACCGAGACAGGTATCACAGGGATCATGGAGCTTCACACCCCGCCTCCCGCCACCTCACCTCCCACCACCTGTCTGATTTGTGTTTTAGAGAAAACCTGGATTTTGGAGATCTAGGATCTGTTTCTGCCTCTGCCCCTGATTGGCTGCTGTGACCATGAGCAAGTCAGCCACCCTCCCTAGGCCTTGACTGGCTCATCTATAAATCAAGGGACCTGGATCAGATCATCTTCAATAAATCTACATTTACAGAAACAGGTGGTGGACCAGATGGGCCATAGTCTACCTTTGCTTTACATTTCCTGTGGGGTTCAGAGAGCCTGGGGCCCAAGATCTGTGGCTGGTCTGCACCTAAAGCCCTGCCTGGGCCTCCATGATCCCACCCATAAAATAAGGAGCACGTTAATACCTGCATTCTGCAAACTGCTCAACAGAGGTGACACTGAGCTAAAGAGGTCTGATCAGTACAGGACTTCTCAGGGCCTTTAGTACTTTGGTATGCATTGTGAATTTCCTAGGGGGGGGATGCAGGATGCAGGGTTTAACTAACACAAAGTAGTATTTTTTGCACTATGTACCACTCAGCACGGCTTGGGAAATGCCCTGTGAGCTCCCTGAAGTCTCATTTCCTTCCCTGTAAAACAGGGGTGACCATAGCACCTGCCCCCTGAACTGTCGGGAAGGCTGAATGGGGTGATGCCTGGAAACGGGCCTGGCACAGAGTAGATGTTCAATAAATGCTGGCAGCTATTATTTATAATAAGATTCTCCCTTTCCAGCTCTGACATTCTGGGTTTCCAACTGCAGCATGTAATTAAACTCCAAAGCATCTGGCTTCCCGAGTTGAAAGAACAAGCCCGGAGGAAGGAAAAAGGAAGAGAAAGATCCTTCTGGATCGTCCATTTGTGCACCAGCCTCACTGCCAGTTGTCACAACAGGGGAACATAGCGAGATGCCAACCCCTAACGACAAGGCTTGGGGGAGTCTGGGGTTCTCTGCTGAGCTCAGATGCTGTGGAGCATATTTCAGAGGCAGACTGGGGAGAGGTGGGATCAGTGCCCCTTTAGACTCAAACAGGAGGACCCAACAGCATCCCCCTCATGGATCAGCTTCCCTTTCCCGCTGTCCTGGGCACAGTGATCCCGACCACTTTCCGGTATGTGTGACATGCTGGGGGAGCAGTGAAAGGGAGAGCTGAGTCAGAAAAGGTAAATAGGAGAATTCAGGCAAGGAAAGGCAATCCACAGAGAAAGAGCATCTGCTATGGCTCAGAAGCCCGCAGGAGCGCAGGGCTGTGGTGGCGGGGGCCCAGGGGTAGGGTGGTAGTATAGAGGGTCATCAGGAGAGAAGGCTGAAGAGGGGGCGGGCACCTGGACCCCAGAGACTTTAGTAAAGTCAGCCATACACGTCAGTTACACTCCCCTGTATTACACACACACCCACTCACGCTCACTGTTTTCTGTAGTTTTCAAAATTTGACCGTGAACATGTATACCTTTTACATGAAGCATGTTCATGTATACGAAGGAAAATAATGCTTTTGAAAAAGAAAAGAAAATGATCACCCTTACGACCATGTGGAGGCCAGTTTGGAGGACTGCAACTGACCAGGTAAATGGTAATGATGAGCCACTCCACTCACAGACATCTCCCCAAAAGGATGGAAAACGGATGCAAATACATGTATGCGCATGCTCATAGCAGCACCGTCTACAATGGCCACAAGGAGGAAACAGCCCAAGGATCCACCAACAGATGGATGGGCAAGCAGAATGTGGTCTCTCCATACAGTCGGGTCTTACTCATACAAAGGAATGAGGTACTGGTGCTCGCTACGACATGGATGAACTTCGAAAATGTTACGCTAAGTGCAAGAAGCCAGACACAAAAGGTCACACCTTGTACGATTCCGTTTACATGAAATACCCGCAATAGGTAAGCCCACCGAGACAGAATGTGAGACTGATGGTTGCCAGGGGCTCGCAGAAGGAAAACAGGGAGCAGCTGCTTCATGGGTATGAGAGAAAGTCCCAGCAGGTCGGACCCTGAGCTCTCCCCACAGTTTGGTAATACAAGCCATTAAATCCTTAGCTATGAGTTAAGCTCCCTCGAGCTGACTTTTGGTCGCTTGCACCAGGAAATTATCTTATTGCAGTGGTTTTCAAATTGTGTCTGTCGTGGAACACCAGGGTTCCATAGAGATGTTATGTTGGTTCTGCAAAACTTTGAACGCCACAGGTGCTGAGGCTGATTAGAAAAAAAGAATTTGTAACCATCATCTACAGCCCCCAATTGACTTCCTAAACGTGCTACGTACATTTGCATTTGTAAAATATGTTCAGCTAACAAAATGCTTCTCTGACCTGTTATATGTATGAGTTCTAGTTAAAGTTTCATTTGAAAAAGCGTCCAACTTCTAAAAATAAACAGTATAAAATCACTGTCCCAAGAAAATGATCATTACATACTGGAAGGTTTAGCTTCTAGGAGACTCACTGCAGCTCTGTTTGTACCAGGGGTCAGCCATCTGTGGCCCATGCGCTACATTTGGCCAGCCCCTGTTTTTGTAATAAAGTTTTATTTAAACAAACAAACAAACAAAAAATAAATTCTTTTATGCATCCTGGCTGCTTTTGCACTACAATGGAAGGATTAAATCATTGCAACAGAGACCTCAGGTGCCACAAAAACTAGAACATGCATTATCTGGCCCTTAACAGGAAACACTTGCGAACTCCTGGTTCTTAATGATGAAAAATTGGAAGCAACCTAAATGTCCAAGAAAAGGGGATTGGTCAGATTACGAGAGAGCATCCCTTCAGCAAAGAGAATGCCAGGCCCCTGTTGAAAAATGATGCTGTGGCACAGTGACTCTCAAACTTGGCTGCACACTGGAACCCCCGGGGAGTCTAAAAGTCCCCTCCCTAGTCCAGCCCCATCCCTGATGTCTGGGCAGAGTGCAGACGTCAGTATTTGTTAAGCTTTTCCAGGGGGTTCTAACGCGGAGCCACTGTTGTAGAGGAATATTCACTGACATAGAAATATGACCACTCTGCATTGTTGAGGGAAGAAAAGCACATAATCTAACAGTCTACCCTATGACCCCTTTTTGGTCATTTTTATTGGTCATTTCTCCACGCGCTCACATCCCGGCCTTGCCTAGAGGAACAAGAGATGCCAAAACATCGACAGTGCTCGTCTCAGGACGATGTGGCTATGCGACATTTTAATTTTTTTTCTTTTTGGTTATCTGTATTTTCTATGTGTTTTACAATGAACATTGTACCTTGTACCAAGTATGAAAAAAGATAATCAGCTTAAAAAGTATACCTCTTGGGTTGTTGTTTTTTTTTTTAAGATTTTATTTATTTGACAGGCAGAGACGAGACATAGCGAGAGAGGGAACACAAGCAGGGGGAGTGGGAGAGGGAGAGGGAGAAGCAGGCTTCCCGCTGAGCAGGGAGCCCGATGCGGGGCTTGATCCCAGGACCCTGGAATCATGACCTGAGCCGAAGGCAGATGCTTAACGACTGAGCCCCCCAGGCGCCCCTATTTCTTGTTTTGAAAAAACAAAAAAACAAAAAAACCAACACTACGGAGATGAGCACTTAATCAAGTGAGGCGTTCCTGGGTCATGTGTGTATACAGCACGCCCTGGCGGGGGGGTGGGGGGCTGCCACTGCAGGTCCCAGGCTTGTGGCGACCCCAGGGCTCTGTGAGTCAGGCAGCCGGAGTTAAGCCCCCTCGAGTGTGAAATGGGTTGAGGGTGCCCACCTCACAGGATCAAAGGCATGGAGGTGCAATTTCTGGCACAAGGTAGTGCTCAACCAAGTCTGCTTCTTTCTCCATAAGCGGCTCCCAGAGTCAGAGCCTGCAGCTGGTCAGCTTCCTCATGCCTGCTGAAGGAAAAGGATTGGCTTTGCCCAAACTGGGCCCGTCCAGGTTCATCCGCAGCTGCTGGTCCCTGGTGCTGTTGGCAGCCGCC